TGCACCTGGGTTCTCTTTTACAGCAGAAAACTCCACCGTGCAAAGAAGCTGCAATTTAGCAGGAAAATAATTCAGTGGTGCCAAAGCACACACAAAAACAAAAATCACAACTTTGGGCTGTGACACCCAGGACTATGATCAGGATGGAGAAGGGAACTCAGCTCAGCTGGGATGAGTCCCCTTCCCCAGTCCAATCGATCGCAGCGCTGGGGAGGGGAACTGAGTGATTGGGCCGTGTGATTGGGCTCAGTTTCCTTCTCCAGCCCAATTGGCTGGAGAAAGAAACTGAGCCCAATCACACGGCCCACACAGCCCTCCTGGGGTGGCAGCCCCTAATCTGCCTACTGGATGAGAGAAGCTGGGGGCTGCTGCCTGGAACTGGTGGCATGCTGGTGCCAGTCCCAGGCAGCAGCACCCGGCTTCTCTCCCTCATCTGGCAGACAGATCAGGGGCCCGCAACCCCAGGAGGACTAGCACAGCTCCCGCAGTCCTCCTGGGGCTGTGGGCCCCTGATCAGCCTGCCGGATGAGAGAAGCTGTTTCAAGCTTCCCCATTGTAGCCTATGGGCGAAACATGGAAAAAGTGTCAAAACAGCATCACTGTTTCTATGAAACAAAACGGAACAGTGGTTTCGAATCGAAACAAAATTCGAAATGAAACACTATTCTGTCAAAACGTTGAAATGCAAGTCAAAATGGAATGGTGCCATTTCACACAGCCCTACGGGGAAGCACCAGAGCTCTTCCTGACTGCTGTACAGGGTCTGGGCTCAGCATCAGGGATGGATGGTGTTCCCCTTCCCCATGCCTGCTCCAAGACCAGGCAGAGGTGGGGGGAGGGGGGGGAGAAACTACTCTCCAGCTGCCCTGCTGCCACTGTCCCCTCCCCAGCTGAGTCCAGGCCAGCTGGCTCTGAAGCTTCATCACCCAAACAGTGAAAAAAGTAGCAGTAGCAGGAAGAGCAGTGGGGTGGGGAAGGTTGTGGTGGAGAAGGGCCGGAGGCATGCCTCTATAAAGGATGGGAAAGGGAGGGGGTATTTTCACCTGCTTTAGAGACTTGTCACCCCACACTGGTGGGAACGCAGGATGCTGGAAGCAGGGGGTGCAGCCACCCTGTAGTGCAGGTTGTTCCTCCAGCCACCCTGCTTTTGGCAATCCTGGCTCTGCCCCTACTTATCCCTAAACAGAATAAGGAAGATTTGTCTAATTAATAAATTGAGTTCTCTACTACCCACCATGAAATCCATAAGAAAACATGTTGCCATAGCTATCTGTATTGGTTTTTTAAAGGAATCAGTGCTGATCTAGGCAGGTATGAAATGAGAGCATGCTATTGTCACCCATCATTCAGTCTGTAGACAAATCCGTTTTTTTTCCTTGTCTATTGTTTAAGTCTCAGACCAGTGAAGAATGGAAGGAGGAAGAGTTTGAAGAATGGGAACAGTAACTGTGAACATCTGTTATGAGGTGGTAGTTCTAGTCATAACGCCAAGACCAGCAACAACAGGAAATTTGGGAAATTTGTGCACAAAAATAGCACATTTAACATTACCGCAGTGTCCTCTCTTTTGTGCTTCATATATTACGTTTCATTGATGTTCTTTGTTGTTTTCTCAGTTTCCCCAGTGTTTGGTCCTCCTTTCTCTCTTTGGTCCTTTCTCTCTCTCATAATCATTTTTCTTCCATCCACTTCCTGCTCCATTTTCTTTCATACAATCACAGAAAATTTGGGCTCAGAAAAATAGCAGGAGGTCATCCAGTCCAACTCCCTGCTCCAGGCAGGATCATCCCTACCCAAATTATTTTAGATAAGTATTTTCTAACCTATTCTTAAAAGCTTCATAAACAACCCTCATATACAGTTACCAAGCACACCACACAAAATCTCAAAAAACACTTAACTTTCCATTTGTAAGTGAGGGGAACCAGGGCTGTGCCTATAGTTACATAGAAATATTCCATGTCTACCAGAAGAAATGCTGTTTCCCTGCTAAAAGCCAAAAATGTAGAGACTTTCCAGCTCTTTCTCCTAGAGCAAAATGGCTGCTCAGGGAGAAAAATAACCCTGGAACAACCAGGGCTAAATCATTCTTGGGAGATTTTCTCCCAGATGACAGAATATACTCCGCCCCTGGATTAACTCCTCCTGGGGAGGAGCAGCTACAGCGGGCAGGAGGCATTACTCTGCTGTTTCTCTCCCCTGCAAGACCAGCCTGGGAGAGGAAGGAGTAGCAAGGCACATCCTCTAGCCCCTTCCCTTTGGGCTGGGGACTTTGTCTCAACTTTTCCTCTGTTCTGCCTCACTCTCTTGGGCTGCAGGCTCTGGCCCACCCTGTCTCTTGTTCTCAGATCACTCAGCTCTGGCCTGCCCTATTCACTCACACTCTCCCTTGCCCCTTTGCCATGGCACATGGCCTCCAAGCCTCCCCTAGGGCCCAATTTGGTCCTCTGCTTTCAAAATTAAGTGCAACAAAAATCCCAGCAACAGTTTCTCAACTAAACTTCTTTGCCACTCTGGGTCAACATCACCCCGGCAACCCACATTTCCCTTCATGTTCCCTCCTCCCAGCTCTCATGGGTGGCTTGCATACTTACCAGTCTGCCACCAGGAACTCCTCTTCCTGCACCACACAGGGCCAAACTCCCTCCCTTGCTTTAGACACTGGAATTATATGCCCCAAAGCATATTATATACTGCCCCTTCCAGTCATGTGATTCCCTAGCTACACACAGGGGTTTCTCCTTTTGTCTAATGACCAGCCAGCCCTTCCCTACAGCAGCCTAACCCAGCTACCTGCAGCATTTACTCTCAGGCTTCCTAGCCATCTGCCCCACACAGCAAGCTTGTTGTGGTGCAGCTAACTTTTGCTCAGATGCCTGCCCACACTGCAAGGTTGGCCTGCTGCACTTCCCCCTTCAAGTACCTGGCTCCCTGTTACAGCATCATATATTGAGTCTCCCTTTAACAGCTTGCTCTCATGCAAGCCTCAGTTTTAGTTAGATACAGGAAAGCAGAGTCTCTACAAAGTGCATGTGTGCCAAAGATGATTTGGGCGCAAGTATATGCAGGCACCACACTAAGATTTGGGCTGCTAAAGAGTTTTGTGCAGCTCTGCAAGAGAATCGCCTAACTTGCCCTAGACCTCTCAGAGCGGGAGAAACAGAATCCCATTCAGGAGGATTTTCCTATCCAACCAATGACCTGTGAGTTACTAGAGGATTTTGCACAGTGGTACTAAGGGTTCTTAAAAATAATCAATCAGTAAGAAAGCTGAGTACTGCCTGTCACCCTATGGAGATAACTAAGCAGTGAAACCAAGCAGTCTCTGAATCAAATAGAATCTGGTTTGACTCTGACAAAAGACTGAAACCGAAAAGAATCCAAGAAATAAGAGAGCTTTGGAGACATTTGACACAACACTCTCAACAATATCCTTCAAAAAAGAAATATTTGTAAGATAGGGCAATAACTGATAGGATTGCCAGCATCAAGAGACAGCTTTTTCAGTGAAAGACTTTGAATTGTGCACTTGAGAGAAGCCATAACTCTACTTCCCTGAATAAAACCCTGTCAAAAGATCTTTAACATCTTCACTTACTTTAACAAGACATGAACATCAAGGGTCTACATTGTAGGTCAGGGATCCCCTGATAATTTCAGCAGTGAAACCAGCTTAAACTGAAAGAGAAAACATACATGTTTCTATTGTTGTCCACTCCGACTGTGGCAACCAACTTTTCCTGCAAAGTAGCCAGAAAATGTCTCAGTCTGAAACATCTGACTGTGGTTCCCCATGGAGGTATCTAGCATTTGTGATCCTTCCAATTGCCCAATCAGACACAACTTTGTAGATGCAACAGAGGGCAGGGTGGGATAGACCTCCTTATTCTCTTGTGCAGCATGTGGCATTTTAAAACCCCCAATGGCACAAAGCACAGAGCACAACTGCTACCATCAGTTATTCAACCACCTGCAAATATATGAATATGTTTTATGTATCCTGTTGTCACAGAGAATGAAAAACATGGAATAGTTGGTAGCCAAGGACAAGATACTCTATAGTCCCACAGTTGATGGCATGGTAGCTTATAATTATTCTTTTTTTTTTTTTTGTCTTTGGCTATCTCAAAAAAAAAAAAAAAAAAAATCCCCATGCAAGCAGAAAACCTGTTTCATCAGGACTGATGGGTCCAATTTAGTTTCAGAACTTTTTCAGACCCCTTGGTTGGAGCTATTAAAGCAGGTCATCCACTCTGGCAGAACCTCAGTCCGAAGGATGCAAACATGTGACCATGTCATTCAGTCACCACTGAATGAATGTTCCTAAACTAGACACGTTTCCTTCTGCCAGCATTGTGAGAAGTAGTTATTTTAGTTTAGCACTTTCTCACTGAACATTGCTTCAAGGGTTAGGTTCCTGCTGGCTGTCACCGTTCTGTGATGAAATATTAGAGCAGCAAGGTAGAGAGGGATGCAGGAGGCTGCTGCAGCTCTGACTCCAGCCCTGAGCCTGGGTCAGGGCCGGAGTCAGAGCCACAGCAACAGTCTCCCTCCTCTTCCACCTGCCTCTGCCTTGCCAGACCCCAACTGGTGGTGGTGGCAGCAGCTCTGGAGTCCCAGGGCTGGAGCTGCCGCTGCTGTAAATACTGGTGCATGGCCTGGCCAGGGCTGGGGCTACCATGTGCTCTGTGCCCCTGGCTGGGACAGGGCTGGAGGTGTGGCAAGGGGGACAGAAGCTAGGTGGGGCAGGTAGAGAGACACAGGCTTGGGGGGGGGCAGTCAGAAGGGGTGCAGACACATGGGGAAGCAAACACCAGGGGGCACAGGCATGGAGGGGACAGGCATGGGTGGGAGGCAGAAGTGGGTAGAGGCACCACAGTGGGGCAGGGCAGGAAGCGGCGGGGGGGGGGTGCAGACACTGTGAAATGGAGGAAGGTGCTGGGGCATGCAGACACCAGAGGTTGGGCAGGTAGCAAAAGTGCCACATAAGGGGGAGCAAGGGACAAGGAGCAAGGGGCAAGCCATTGTCCCCCTTGCTGCTGCTTGCCCTGGGGGACAAATTTCAGATGACCCTTCAATATTTAAATCATATCCATATAAGATTATACCAAATCTATACATTTCCATGTATAGGATCTAATTTTTGGTGGGGTTGTCTTAAATTCAAAGCCATCTTGGATTCGGGTAAATGCAGCATTTACAACTGCGGTACATTAACAATTGTTTTGAATATATTGTTGACAAGGCCAAATTAAAGATTGTGGGGGATGTACACTAAACCATGCTTCCTCCCATGAAGATGGCAAATGCCAAGAGACCCTGGTTGGGTTGTGATGAGGGGTTATACTTATCCTGGTTGCTAACATGTTTTAATCCAAACTCTTCAAGACAAGGACATGAGTGATATTAGTGTAATAACGCTGTGCAATGTGAGCAAGATTTTTTTTTGCAAGTCTTGGTTCAGCTACCTTGAAGTACACATATGTTAAAAAAATAAAACTGCTTGTCACTAATGCTATTAAAATAAAGGTAATGTTCTTAGACTAATTAGTAATTATAGGGAAACTAAACATTTTAGCCTTCCTCAATCACAACAGTTTGTGCCACAAAATTTTATTACTTTCTTTTAATAGGTGTAAAAGACCTAGGATATCTGCATTTATTCATTAGCTCCACATTATATGCTACTGTACAGTAACATCTATTGTGCAATTACATGTTTCAGTAACATGACTCAACTTTCCCTGAACTTTACTTCCTTTAACTTGAGTAAAAGAAACAGAATTTAAAATATAATTAGCCTCCAAAAGCGATTTAATTTGTTCTAGAAACGAGAGATGGTCTGAATTAAGCCTGTGATACTTCACAGTGCAAAGTTCAGAACTGGATACCATAAACACAGACATTTCAAAGCATTTCCCTTTTCATTATTGTACAGGCTGTGATCAGGAAGAGATTTCTCATTTAGAACAAAATCATTAAAAAAAAAATCCCATATTCAATATTGGTAAAATTATCCTGACAGCACATCAAAACAAAGCCATCCCTTCTTCACTAAATGTGTACACGGAGCAGACTGGCACTTAGTGAAAGCGCGATGTCTGAATAGGACCTAAATTTCAACCTTTCAGGAGGTAGGGATGAGAAATGTAGTTAAAGACGAAATTAGACAGTTTTGCTGGAAAAAATCCTTTCAGAGTCCTAATGTTAAAACATTACCAATACACTGTCATTTTCTGTGTTATTGAATTAAAATGATAAATTATTTACTAAGCATACTGAATTGTCAATAAAGCTCACAACTAAAATAGGATGATTGCTTATAGTCTTTATAAATTAGAATACTGTTATCTGCTTTGGCAAACCTACAAAATGGCTTACTTTATTTTCTTGTACCCCCCCCCTCCAACATTCATACTATTCAATTCACCAACCACTACTGCCATCTCCTGATATTCAGTTGTATATATCAAAATATATCTTTTGATTTTGCATTTAGTGTTAACTCTTACATCACTGGGGAGCTTCAACTATAACTGTCCTAGATATTGATTTTGTTACCCTTTTAGACAGCCTATTTTCAAACACTGTAATTTTACATTTATAATTCTACAATAGATCCCAAGTGAATAGAGCTCAGTTGTTAACAAAAAATTATACTGGAAAAAAAGTATTTGTTCCCTTTGCCCCTAATATACTCTTTGAACAGATAAGTTTTCTCATATACAGGCAGATTGGAAATGGTTTACATAGCCTACAAAACTTCCTGAAAATTCAAAAATTGCATCAGGAGAAAACCAAGACTTTCCCAAGTTTTTTCCCAAAGAAAGAATCAACTAGAATATCTAATGTGATGATTAGGTAACTCATCTGGGATGCAAAAGATAAGAAGGCGACGCATTTTAATGTGATTCTCTCCCATCCTAGGTAAGTGGACCCACCACTATGATATACAGACAGCCTCTCTCTCAAATTCTTCTTTCGGATCTGTTCCATTTTTTCTAAGTAATTGAATATACATTCAGCCAAATATAGAGAGATAGAACATGCAGACATGTCCAACAACACAGCTGGGTAATCTTGCCCAGTAGGTAGGATTCTCAGCCTGGGATGTAGGGTCAAATGCCAATGAATATTTGATTATGTAACAGGCAGTTTAAGGGGCGCTTACCTTCTGAGTGTCCTATGTCAGGCTCTGCCTGAACACTTGAGGGAGATTGTCCCAACAGGGACAACAGTATTATCCCCAGCAAGGAGAAGCAAGAGTCGAACAGCTCTATGGGCTCGGAGAGGCCATGCCCAGGCAGAGAAGCATGCATGGAGGTGCGGGGAGATGAGTTTGTGTTTTGCAGGGATCTGAGTGGAAACAGCCTGGGCTGACTGCAAGATACCTGGGCCTACGTAAGGAACCCACCAGTGTGTGATGAGAGGAGCAAGGGACTGCCCCTCCCTCCATTCATAGGGCATAAGACAGGGTGACTAACTATTAGTTGTAAATAAATAATTAGGGACTTAATATACTAGGTATTTAACACAGTGCCTAAGTTACTAGCTTTGTATTAACTGATCTGAGCATCCTTTAGGTGTAATAGTTATTCACCATTGTTCCTGTATAGACTCATCCTTGTGCATTGTAAATAGTTTCAAACTTTTGCTATTATTTACTGTTTTATGCATGTAGCAAGCATCTCCTGTATATAA